AACGACTAGACTAGTGCTCAATAGTTGTTTCATATATGTTATAAGCTGTGACCCACGCCCTCAGTCCTCCATAACCTTTACCATCATTAACACAATCGTTGGTCTTTTAAATCATATGCATTCAAACATTATCTATTAAATAATGTTTCAATTATTTGGAAGTCTTAAACAATTTCTAAAACCGAGTTCGTGTGTAATCGATAACAATATATTTCGACTTCACTATAAGGCGACTGTAGTTATACTCATAGGATGTAGTCTTATGGTTACAGGTATGTGATATGACAGTGAATGTGCCATTTATGTGATCGCAAGCTTAATCAAAATATTGATTTATGATGAATAGCTCGACAATACTTTGGCGATCCAATTGACTGTATCTCTAGAGACGACATCCCACCGAATCTTCTGGGTTTGTAATTCTGATCAATACAGTCAATACAGTAGACATGACTTTATATTCACATTTACACCAATAGACACGTATTGTTGGATTCACACCACGTTTAGTATAGAGAATGCATGGAAGAAAAAAGTGGGGGAAGAAGTGCCGTATCCCGGGGTCGACAAGACTACCCCTAACGAGAAGAGAGTATATCACGCGTACTACCAATGGGTGTGTTTTGTGCTCTTCTTTCAGGCGCTGCTCTTCTATATTCCCCGATATTTATGGAAAGCATGTGAAGCCGGAAGAGTTAAGAATTTGATTCTTGGTCTCAATTATCCAATTTGTAGCGAAGATGTAAAGAGTAATAATCGGGCACTTCTTGTTGAATATCTCTACAAAAACCTCAATAACCACAACCTTATGTTCAAAATGTACGTCACAACAGAAGTACTTAATTTTCTCAATGTTATCCTCCAAATGGTTTTGATGGACCGCTTCTTAGGCGGAGAGTTCTCTAACTATGGTTGGGAAGTGCTCTCCTTCTCAGAGTGGGACTGGAATGTCAGATACGACCCAATGGTTTGTCATATAATTTTAATATTAATATTAGTATTACTATTAATGAATGTATTGATTAGATTAAAGTGTTTCCACGTCTAACCAAATGTACTTTCCATCGATACGGGT